AGTGCAGAGGTGAATGGGGAGGAAGGTGGTTGCCAAAGCATTTGGAGGCAAATATTCTTAAAATAGTAAGTCTTTTCCAAATGCCTACTTAGTGAAATTAGATCCACAGGAAAACCAGCTCAGTGGAGCTGTATAAATGGCATAGGCCACTCCAAGGAAAATGCAGCCAATCTGCCTAATTTTATTTATTTTTTTTTTTAATGAAGGATACTCAGAACTTAATCCAAACATACTGAATAATTTCCATTGACTTCAATTAACTCTGGCTCTATCCTCTGGCTTGGTAAGCTCCTTAACCATGGCATTAACGCCAAAGGAAATTCTCCAGCTTCCCTTACACAAAAATGACCTTGATAGGCCAAGTAAGCATTATCGTAAACGTTGATCCTAAACCTCAAATACAGACAACTACTTCTGAAATTTAAGACTACTTTTCTACTTTTATTTTTTTAATCATGTCTGTTTTTCAGTTTTATAACAGCAGCGCAATACCAACTGTGCTCATTGTTCTGTTCACCCGTTCCCCTAAATTTCTGGGCAGTGGTGGATCTCCAGACCATTTAAGACAATATCGTTGGTTCCACTGAAGGTACATGTCTTTTCTCCACCGTCCCATATTTACAACTACACAATTATTAAAAGCAATACTGACACTATTAAGTTAGTGGCTTCAAAAATCTTGCGTAAACATCTTGCAATTTTACTCCAGTGAAACTTACTTACAATTATATAAAAAATTTTATGAACTAATAATTAACATCTAAATTAGCTGTAAGTGTGTCATGTCGAACTTCAATTAGAAATTTTTTACAGTGAGAACAAACAATCACTGAAACAACCTCCCCAGGGACATGGTGGAGTCCCCATTACTGGAGGTTTTCAAGATGCAGCTGGTCAGGGTGCTAGATAATCTCACCTAGGCTTCCTTTCCCACAAAAGGCTGGACCAGATGGTCTTCTGAGGTCCCTTCCAACCTGGGCTGTTCTACAATTCTATCAGATACACTAATATTATTTCAGTTCTCAGTTTGGAAGAGGTTAACTTTTTTAGGCAATTTTCCAGTAGGAAGCATCAAGAACTCATTTTGAAAAGGGGCTCACTGGTATTTCATTAAGTTCAGTTAACCACAACACCCTGTCAGCATATTAATTTATAAGACAAACTGCAGAAAGTGAGCATAGGTGGGAAAACTGAAATGATACATATTCAGGTTTTGTCTGAATACACAACACCATCATTTTAGTAATGATTCAGATACATAAGTAATCCTGTTTGGAGAAAGACCTTATTGATTTCCTGCAGTTGATTCATAAATCTGTTGCTAGACTATTTATCAAACGGAATCCTGAAAAATTCTGGCAGTTGCTCATACATGTGCAAGTCTATATTCTTACTCTTCCCTCACTATCTTTTTTCCCAGTAAAATAATCTTCAAGTCTTCAAATTTTTTCCTTTATTGAGGGGTCCTCTGGTTTTGATCAGGGATTTTGCTTTCAGAACAACCTTAACTTCAACTTTTCATAAATGTATTATAACCATGAGATCATTACAGAACTAACTACTTACCAGCTCTGAAGGTAATGAGTATATTTCTATGTACTTTTCAGTATCTACTGAAAAAAGCTACTGCTGAGTGGACAGAAGCATTAACTTAATCAACAATACACAGTCTCTCCCCACTCCAAAATAAATATGTTTTTTATGTTGCTTACTGAGCTTGAAAACTTGAAAGCTAAGTGCTTCCTCTTGGACAGGCTGAGTGTCTGAAATAACTGCTTTTAACAGCCTCAGAGCATCATTAAACCTTTAACACATTTTAGAAGTATTTGATCTCCATGCCCCTTACTTAAAAAGTTACTCAGAATTGGTAAATCGAACATTGCTAAGTAAAACAATGTCTTGTCATTTACTTGTGCTTACTATTAAGTACTTTAATTAAGACTTGTGGAAATAAGTTAGCAAATTAATTAATTTACAACTGCAATAAAATTCAGTAAGAAACCCATTAAATATCATTAATAAGTCGATACGTTACTTAGGAAATGAACTCTATTTTTATTACTAGAAATTACTATCAACTATAAAACGCCACTGTACCAATTTCTTTACTTGTAGAAGGAACAAATTCTTAACTGACATTATCAAATTAATATATTGCTTCTCTGCGATTTATTTTTTTTTTTGCTTTGGATACTGCACTTATTTAAATTGTAAGTTGTAAGAAAGAAAACTAGACAATCAATAGTTTAGATTTTACACACTGACAAACACAATCTGCGTCACATTTAAGACAGTCATTGAAAGTCAATTGGCTGTAGGATGATGGGCAATGCTACCTGTTAACTGTCCTGATCCAAAACCTATAGAAGTCCAAGCAGCCTTTCTACTGACTGTAGGGGCTTTCTTATTGGAATCTAATCCTACGGTTCAAGAAAACTTTCTGTTAAAAAAAAAAAAAAAGGCACTTAGCACATGTCAAGTGCTAACAAGCCCTTAAAGAATTAAAGCCAGAGGATGAAGTGCAAGAGAGTAACGGTGCTGATGAACTTCAGCAATGATAAAAGATGAACCAAATACAGTTTTAGTCAATCCCAAGCCTTTGAAAAAACAACATCAACAAAAAACCCCAACAACAACAAAACAAAAACAACCACCCCCAAGCAAAAAACCAAAACAAACACATACACAAACCCACCAAAAAACCAAAACCGAATGAAACTCCTCAATCGTAAGGGCTTCCTTTTTTTTTTTTTTTATCAAGTTAACCCAATCAAGACTGATTATATGATGGGAATTGGGAAATCTGAAGGTATTCAAGTGACAAACCACTTTGATTTTCTAATCTGCTGCACTGCTGAATGAAGAAAGGAAAGTGTGGCGTGCAATTAAGACATTGCAATGATAGAGTTATGTTTCCACTCAACAATTTTTCCCTAGATGGGATATGAATCTAGAATTTTTAAATTCAGAACTAAAAAAAAAAAAAATCAGAATTTTATCAGCATCTGAATTTTTTTCTTAATTTTAATTTCCTATTCAATCCCAAATAGGTTGTTATTTTTTCAATTCAGATGCAATATAAATCCCATCTTTTCCATGATTAAAAAACTCAAAAAATGAAATTCCCAATGCTCAAAAGCAAATCCCAACCTCAAATTTCTACCTACTTTAAGCCCCTGTTGGCATCTAATTTAGATCCAGACCTGTATCCACCTATGGAACTGGTAGCCTAATTTCCTACGATTGTCTGTATGTGTTAATTTATTTTTAAATGGTGCATATGGCCTTCAAAAGGCTTAGAAAATCAGGCTGAAGGCTTGTTACTGTTTCTCAGATGTTTCTTTCCCAAATTCACCCATGTTTTAGGTGCTTCAATGACATTAAGGTATCCAACTAGCTAAGCTGCCCAAAGGCTTCTAAAAGCTACAGAAAAATTAGGTTTAGATTAATTTTTTGTTATTGCTTCCCCTATTTCCTCCAAGCCTAAGGTGCCACCCTTGGCTGATCATCACCACCTTCTTTCTCGTAAAAGGACACATCTTCAGCTGTGTGCAAAAGGCTTACCAGTTTCAACCAACTGAAAAAAGAACAAGTGGGTTTATTCCCTGGTGATATTATTCATACACTGCATCCTGTAAGCAGAGCAGGGGAGTAGCCAATTGCTACAAATTTGTAGACGAAATGGGAGATTTGTTCCTTCTTTTGCTCACAATATATCCTAATAGCCTCAGCAACTGACATCTGTCATCCGCAGAACAATGCCCAGTAGTGGTATGAGCTCACTCAGCCAACATTATCCTTTCACTCAGCTGACTGTCCATCACACCTACGTCTCTCCTTCAAGCGCTCCCAAGGGAAGAATTCATGTGCCTTCATGAGAGCTGAATATCTCCTGTAGTCTGTCATAAAATTTTTTGCAATGAATTCCCAAAGCACTCTGTATTTGAATGACTTGAGTCCCATTCACTTTTTTGTCTTGAGGAGCTGAAATACTTTCTTCTCAGCCTTCGAGAGATACCAAGACGCATTCTGTACATCAGCAGCAGAACAGGTGCATCCTATCTGAACATGCCCTGCACAATGTCAGGCTGTTCCTTGTTGGAGCTTAGAGATCACCTTTATATATGGACAGTGTAATAAACCCCTTAGTACAACTGGTCTTTGTGGAGCGCAATGTAAATAATCAAAATAACGTATATTCTCCAGCAGATTTCCCTGTCCCAGACAGGTTGAAAGGAAGAACATGCAGCTGAACTCAGCAGTACTCCAAATAAATAAAATGGACAAAAGGTAATGTGTTAAGTGCTATAAGTAATAATATTCTTCACTGACATCCCACCTAAAGATTTCAGTATGATTCACAAGCTCTATAAAGCTGATAGAACTAAAATGCATCTGCTTCTGGCGTGAAGCACTAAATTTACACACTTGGATTGATAAAGGAGCTTGTATTTAAAAAAGTAACCCCCATTACGGCTGCCCATTATTAAAATTCCATGCACTACATAGAGCTATTAGGGGTTACTCAGCAATAACTATTTTGGAACATTGCCTAAGAAAGGCATACTTTATTAGAATCAAGTTTTCCATAGCTGTTTAAAAAAACAACCCTGAAATCTGTTACCAGGAACATCAAAAAGACAGCTTGCAAGCTACCTGTCTAGGAACAGGTACTACTGTTCTACTTTCTGCTGCAGAAAGTGAAATCATCAGGATAGGCATTTGGCAAGCCAGGGTGAATACTGCTTTGGTTCTCCCAAAATGAAACTTACTTAGAAATGCTTTCCTAAGGAAAAAAAAAAAAACAAACAACAAACCACTTGTTTCCTTGCAGAAGTTAAAAACTTCTAAGGCATCATTAAAAAAATTCTTCATTTAAGTGATTTATTTGATGAGAAGCTGTCATCCTGTGAAGGTTCTGTAACAGCCAGAAACCATGCTCCTCTCCAAAAAGGCATCTAAAGACTATGAGCTGGAAGCAATAAAATACTCTACGTTACCTGTACTGCAGTTCTTCATTGCAAAGGAATCCACAGCCGCTACGCTCTTGTTCCCATTAGCAACATACTCCAGTGAGATCCGAAATGGTTTCTCTAGATGTCCAACTCTCCTTTGAAGCAACACCCATCTGGTCTCATCA